GTGCATTCAAAATTGTATATATGAGTATAAACTACCAAGTATAAAATATGTTGAAGTTTCAATAGTCGTCACTTTTTCAATGTAAAAACGGTAAGTCGAAGAAATTTGGATTTTGGGGTATTGGTTTGACAGCCTTCGAAAATAAATAAATAATACTACTTCGAATTACTACGAGAACTCAACCAAAAATTGAGGAATTGTTGCTCAAACAAAAAACAAAAATATCGAGAAGAAAGGATTTGGGGGCATTATTAAACTTTTCAACAAATTCACTCCTTAATTACTAGGTAAATTCTTGCATTGCCTAGCTCTTTTGAATTCTAATTGAATTTCTTTTTCTTAATTTTTACATTGGCGAAGCTATTGTAATTCTTAATTTGTAGTTTTGATTATGTTTTATGCCTTGAAATTGGACTAATAGATGTTTAATTCATGCCTAAATTAGTTAATTACTGGCTATTTTTTGTGTAATTTGCTAGGTTGTGCTTCTTATACTAACTGCTAATAAATAATGAAACCCATTACTAGTAATTTGGGTTTTGCCTTGCAATTGAAACTTTTCAGATTATTTGAGATTTATACTTTGAGCTTGTGTGATAATGACTCAACTTAATTGCTCTTGAATTAGTTAGAGTGTTGGTAATTTAGTGTTTGATTTGCAATTAAAACTTTTCAGATTATTTGAGCTGTTAAATTTTGAGTCAAGAGAGCTTGTTCTGGATTTTGATTTGGTTAGTGTGTTAGTAATTTAGCGTTTGGCTTGCAATTGAAGCTTTTCAATTTATTTGAGCTGTTACAATATCGAGTCGAGAGAGCTTGTTCTGGATTTTGATTTTGGTTAGAGTGTTAGACCATGTTTCAGGGCTTGTTCTGTTTATTTGTGGTTTAGGAAATATTTGAATGGAAGACAAAATGTGCTTGTTTGCGTTCATTGCTTAATATTAAAGGTGTTTACATGACTTCTTTCGTTCAATTATCAATTAGTATTCATATGCCATGATTTATCTTCCGATTCCTACTTTGTTATCAGTAGTCTGTAGTTGTTTCACTTGTCATTTGTTGGATTCATCAATTGATATTAATCTTTTTTAAGTACTATGTAGGACATATAGCTTTTAATTTTTGTAGTTTAGATGACAAGAGGAATAACAATAACTTGTTATCGTCATTTATGCATGATGGGAAGCAGGTTCCTATTGGTTACATAAAGTGCTTCATTGAATACTTTTAATTTGCTTCTGTTCATGGCTTAATGCCCAGTTCAAGTAGCATAACCGTATGGAACCCTCAAACATTATTATATCGACAGTAGTTTAGTAGTCTTTGAGTCTAACTTTATTTCTGTTCGTTTTCGGGGGAAGCATGTCCAAAGATAATACCTTTTCTAAAAGAGTGTACAAATGATGCTAAACTTTTTACAGGTAAAATGATTCAAAAGTTTTGATTGTTGGAGTCAGAAATTATTGCATTTGAAAGTGGAAATTCAGGAACTATTTCATAATGTCATTTCATACTTTTTCTTGAAGGTTTCTTCTCACGAGTTGATGTTGCAAACTTGACTTTTTCTGCGTCCTTTGTAAACTAAGGAAGTTTGCTAGTACAAATTGTTGATGGAAGTACCAACTTGCAATTCCAAGGTATGGTTTCGTCTCCTGGACTCGATGTTTGGTGTGTTTTTTATTATTTGCACAGTAATTGATCTGTGCCACAGCTGATGATCTTTGCATGCATATTGGGGAAAGGTACTCAAAGGAGATGGTGATGAGTTTAGCAGGAACTCCAGCAGTTCGACCGTCCATTTCTGTCATAAAAGCTTTGGAGCTGAAAAGTTGTTTCCACATTGGCTTCAGATCCTTTGAGCACCTCAAACAAGCCCATGCACGCCTTTTACGCCTTGGGTTAAGTCAAGAAAATCACCTCCTTGATACCCTTTTGGGATATTACACTCAATTTGGCAACACCCATTATTCCAAATTTGTTTTCAATCAAACCAATAAGCCCAATATCTTTCTCTTTAATACAATGATTAAAGGGCTTGTTTCAAATGACTTATTTGACGAAGCTATCAAATACTACCAATCTATGCGTTCAAAGAGCATATTTCCCAATAGATTCACCCTTCCATTAGCCTTGAAAGCTTGTGCTAGGATTTTTGACTATCGGTCGGGATTGAAGATCCATAGCCTTGTTGTTAAATTGGGTTTTGATAAAAATGTGTATGTTAATACTAGTCTGGTGTCCATGTACTCAAAATGTGGTAATATATATGATGCCCGTAAAGTGTTTGATAATATGCAGGAGAAAGCTTTAGTCTCTTGGAATGTTATTATTAGTGGGTATTACGATGTTGGGAAATTTTCTGAAGTTTTGAGCTTGTCTAGAGGATTTTTGAGAAATGGTTTAAAACCAGATGGTTTCACTCTGGCTATGATTCTTTGTGCTTGTGCAGAGTTGGGTGCGCTTGAATTTGGTGAGTGGATTCACAGGTATATTAATGTAAATGGCTTAGGAATAGATTTGGTTCTAAATACCTCGTTGATTAACATGTATGCCAGGTGTGGATGTATGGAAAAAGCACGGGGCATCTTTGATCAAATGCTTGAAAAGGATGTAGTTGCTTGGACTTCTATGATTCAAGGATATGAGGCAAATGGTTTTGCAAAGGAAGCAATAGGCATGTTCTTTGAGATGGAGAGAGAGAATGTAAAGCCTGATTGCAATGCTGTTGTTGCCGTGGTACATGCTTGTACTAGGCTTGGAGCAATGAACTTGGGAGAGCGGGCAATCAACTCCCTTAAGTGGGAAGAAGTGGTAACCAATCTTCCTCTTGGAACAACCATAATTGACATGTATGCTAAATGTGGGAATTCTAACTCTGCATGGAAAGTTTTTAAAGAGATGGAGAGAGACGTTGTAGTTTGGAATGCTACAATATCTGGCCTATTCATGAATGGGCATACTAAAGTTGCATTTGGTCTTTTTGCCCAGATGGTGAAATTTGGTTTCCAACCAATGGTAGTACTTTCGTAGGCCTGCTCTCTGGCTGTACCTATGTCGGTCCTGTTGATGAGGAGTGGAAGTACTTCAACAGCAGGGAGCGTGTTTTTTCTGTGACTCCCACCATAGAACATTATGGCTGTATGGTTAAACTTCTTAGTCATTGGGGATTATTACAAGAAGCTCATGAATTCATTTGAAGAATGTCCACGGAACCAGATGTGATTTTTTAGACAGCGTTGCTTGATGGATGCAGATTCAATCGGAATAACCATTTGGATGAGCATGTATTAGAAAAGTTAGTCCAATTAGAACCCTAGAACTCAAGAAATTATGTTCTTTTATCAATTATTTACTCTATAAACAATAAGTTTTATGATGTAGAAAGAACTAGGATAAGAATGAATGATTGAGGGATTCAAAAGATACTTGGATACAGTTTGATTAAAAAGGATGGTATGGTACACAAGTTTGTAGTTGGTGGCAATTCCCATCCTATATCTGATCAAATATGCAGAAATTAGGTGAAGTGCCCAAGGATTTGCAAAGAGCTAGCTACGCACCAACTGCAGAATTTTCTTTGTTTGATAAAGAGGGAGAGCTATTATGTAAGTATCATTGTGAGAAGCTTGCTATTGCTTTGGCTTAGTTAGCACTTCTCCCGGTTATGTCATTAAAGTGGTGATTGTCATTCAGCAATCAAGATTATTTCAAGGATTACTGGAAGAAATATTGTGCTAAGTGACACAAACCATCTCCATTGCTTTATTGACAGGAAAAGTTGCATGACATACGACAAACTTTTAGGTTGGATGATAATTATAACCAAGACAAACAGCATAGTTCTAGTGAACTTTACAAATATACATGGAAGCTTCAGATGCAAAAGAAAGAAGGTGATGTGTTTAGTTGACTATTTTTTATGCAGGAAGCATTTCTATGGCAAATCTTGCTACTGTAACTTGAACTTTCATATCATACTCGATCAATTTGATGATTAAAGTCTGCTGTTGACATGATAATGGCTTTCCTGAATGCTAATTGTTCCTGCAACACATACTATACCATTAATATACTGGAAAGTTCTTCCGTGCTGCTCAATGACCAGTGCAGCCATATTCCTCTGTTTATGTATCTCTTGCTTCAGCCTTTTTCTTCTATCAATACTTACTCTAAGTTATACTACACCAAACTTAATGTTCGTGAACATTGAAGATAGCTGTTTCGTTCCAGATTTGAGTAGCAGGTTCTTCATCTGATCATTCAATTTCAGAATCTCCACATCACAAGATCCCCAACCTCTAACCAGGTATCAACTTCTAATCTGTTTTTTAGAAGAAAATTTATATCGTTGACCATCTACTACTGATTTCTATTGTAGTAGTAATTTAATTAGATGTTGCCTGAATATCAGATTAACAATTAATTCTGTACCCGTCCTCATACCTGTATTTCATCTCCGTGCTACCTAGTTTATAATGCAATGAAGCTGATTCTTGGGCATTCATAGGAGAGAAATTCTTTGTGCAATGCTTCTGGTCTTTTCATAAATCTTTTGAGGCAATGTAGTCTTGTTGATTTGTTATGCTTCACGATATAGTACATTAGTACTTCGATTGCATGAACTTCAGTATAGGTCTACTCAATGTGTTTCTGCATCCTTTTCTATGACTATATTTGATAGACTGGAATCAGAAGTATTGGAGTTGAGAACTGATGATGTGCACAGCAGCTAGGCAGAGTGACAGTTGAAGTTAGTTGTATGATTCTATGTACAAACTGAGCAGAGCTGTGGTAGTTTTTATGATACTTGTAGTATATACAAATATGATTGTACCCTGCGGGATATATGTATGAAATATTATCATTTACAAATATGATTTGGTGACGAAAATTCAACAAAACCCTAGCATATTCGACTCGTTTAAATTAATGCAGTAAAGTGAAATAGACATCTCAACTGCCTACTCAATAAAATAGTTGACAAGCCAGAACACGTATATACTATGATTTTCAACCTTAAATGAGTACAAAATATCATTTTTTTTTTCTGGTTAAGCTAGTACGGAGTACAAAATTATTTGAGTGTCCTCCTTAAATACTTCAATTCTGAACTAGCTTAGCCTTTCCTTAGCTTGAGGGAGAAGGAGAGATACAGGAAATGGCAGTCAATAAACACATATTTTTCTCTAATTTAGTCATCCTCATATGCTTCTCCATTTTCGCTCTATCTGTCACCGCGGTAAGTACACCTATCATTGTTGTAACATTACTGGTTTAAATTTAACGTGCCAAGTAATTTCAGATAGAGGTAATCAATCCGAGTATTATTATATTACATTGATTTAGTTGGTGAATTCTGTTTTGCTGGTTAATAGGATGATTATGACTGTGTATACACAGTGTATGTGAGAACAAGCAAGGCCATCAGGGGAGGAACAGACGCGATCATCAGCTTAACATTCTACGATGATACAGGCAACGGTATACGAATCAAAAACCTTGAGTCATGGGGTGGGCTTATGGGGCCGGATCACGACTACTACGAGCGAGGCAACTTGGACATCTTCTCAGGCCGCGGTCCATGTCTAAGCAGGCCTGTTTGCTCCATGGAGCTAGCGTCCGATGGGTCCGTCGGACACCACGGTACAGCTAGGTGGTACTGTAACTACGTCGAGGTGACCACCACTGGGCCCCACATCCAGTGTGCTCAGCAGTTGTTTACGGTCGAACAGTGGCTGTCAACTGATAAATCTCCTTACCAGCTATTTGCTATTAGGGATAATTGTGAGCACTCTGATGGAGTTAAACGACGTCGTCCGAGCAATACAATTCTTCCTGTGGAAACCCTCCTCGCTGTTGCTTCCGATCCTCTTGAATTCGAACCTCTTAAACTTGATTAATCACTACATTAATCAAGTTTAATGGGAATAAATTGAAGTTTGATTATGTTAAATTTCTTATTATATCTGTGGACATTTGTATGTGTATGATCACTTAAATAATTGGAGCTTCAAAGTAATAATGTTTGATTTCAATTGGCACTATATTGATTATTGAGCATATATTGTGCAAATATGTGCTGAATTTTTTATTTATTATTTTTTTTTTTATTTTTTTTTGGACGAGAATATGTGCTGATTTTTGTCACCTTTTCACTATTTTCTTATTATATTCTGTCCAATTTTATGAAAGACTTTGCTAGTTAGTTATTTAAGTTTAAGACAAAAAATACGATTTGTAATCGTCCATTAGTACTATGTATAAAATTACATTTAACATTTCTATTTTTAACGATCACTTATTCACTATTCTGATCACAAACAGTTGTACATTAATAAGATGTATGGCTGTTATATGCTTTCAAGTTTGCCATCAATACATCGGTATCCAGGGCCGGGCAGATAATAATCATTCAAATTAATGTCATAATACGCCCTATAGAATATAGAACGGTATCTAGGGACGTACGTGTGTGAACATGATTAAGTGGCCAAGACAACACCAACAATATAGAACGGCCACGTTTCCAGATATCTGAAATTCTGAAAGCAACTTCTTTGACAAAGTTTACGTCTTAATCAAAACAATGCAAATGGGAATGATAGGATTTACTCCTTTGAAAGACTCACAAATAATCTGCTTTCTTTGTTCTTACCATTTGCAGTGACTATGAGAGAGCCAATCAACATATTTGAGGCTCATTCTAATAACGAGGCCCATTATTTATGTTATAAACCAAACAAAACCAATCAATAGATATTTTCCGTCAAGCCCAAAACTTAATTTGGCAGCAATATGGTCCGAATAGTGGTGGTTTTTTTTTTTTTTTTGAAAGGCAATGGTATTTGTTATCTTGCTGATAATTATGTGTGATGATATTTTATTTTGTTTGTTTCAAAAAAATATTTTTTTTTTGGTTGTTTAGAAATTGTTGTTTAGAAAGCCACAGAGACGGATAATGGGAATCAAACCATTCAGCTACACCTCACTCTCATATAGTCATGTGTAATGGTATTGTAAACCAGCATGTATGTTATGTGTTTTATTTCTTGTACTATTTTAATTTCATTTAAATGTAATGCAATTTTATGTGATTAGTTGTGTTTTTCAAATGATGATGGAAGGTGTTTAGCTTACATTAATATAATTAATGTGAATTAAATACATTTTTCTAGCATATAAGTAACTATGACGTATATTGTAAAAAATATAAAACACCAAAATAAAACATAATTAATTTTTTATTTACAAAACATTAAAAAAAATCAATTTGAAAAACGAAAATTGGAAAGTCAAATATTGAAATACATAATTAAAAATAATTTAAATAAATTTAAAATTTTCAACCGTAATTAAAAATGTAATTGATAACATAATTAACTATTGTATTCATTTAAATATGCATAAACATAAATTAATAAGCATAAATTATATGGAAAAGATAATTGAATAGGATAGAGAAAATATGATGCGGTATAAAATTATAAATGTATAATAAAATTTAGGAGAAAGAATGATGGACATTTTTTTTTTTTTGGCTCATGAATGTGGTGGAATTTTGCTCACCAAAAAAACTCATGAGGAAAGTGACGTGGATAAGTGAGAAAGTGGTAGAGAGAAGTAGAGAACCGTAAGCATTTTTCTTCCTCATGAATGGGATTGCTCAAAGGAAGGGTAGCATTAGTGAAAGGGATGAAATTTTGTACTGTAATGAAATGTAAAAAAAAGTGGGGAAAAAAGAGATTTAGAATTTGTTTACATTTACTGAACTAAATTGAACTGAATTGATTGAAGTTGAACTGTATTGAATGGAGCTAAAAAGATTATTTTATGAAATAAGAAAATTAAAAAATGAATTAAATTATTTAATTAGTGCTGAATTGAAATTAAACTAAAGTGAACATATTCTTTATAAGATTATACTTCGTAGTATTTTATACTTCTTCCTCCTATCAATTTACATAGATTTTATATTGTTGTACAACTTCCCAATTCCTCTTATCTCTCTCACGTTAAACGCGTGAAAGTAAATCAAGTAATGGGACAAAATCACTTAAATTATTGGAGTATCCTCTTTAAATAAGTCAATCCTCAGATCTATCTGTTGGTTTCTAGAGCTAGAGAGAGAAAAGCATTATCACCTTCATCAATTATCTCAAGACAAATGGCAACCAAACACATCCTCTCCAGTTCACTCATTCTCCTATCCCTCTTCATTTTCGGTCTATCTTCAGTCACCGCTGTAAGTACATCCATCTATTTTATACTACTCAAATCATCATCAGTTTAAATTTAACGTGACAACTAATTTCAGACATATCGATCAGAGTTCATTTTCTAACTTTTGATATCGGACTTAGTTGCGACGTTATCAGTTTTAAAATAACGTGACAACTAATTCCAGACAGATCGATTCGAGTGACTAAGTTAATCATATATCTAAGTTTTGATTTAATTGGTGTTGTTTGTTTGTTTGATAATGTTTAGGATGATTACGAGTGTGTATACACAGTATACGTTAGAACAAGCAAGGCAATCAGAGGAGGAACAGATGCTAATATCAGCACTATATTCTACGACGATACAGGCAGCGGTATCCTAATCAAAAACCTAGAGGCCTGGGGTGGGCTCATGGGCCCAGACCACGACTACTTCGAGCGAGGCAACTTGGACATCTTCTCGGGCCGAGGCCCATGCCTTAACGGGCCCATTTGCTCAATGGTGCTTACCTCCGATGGATCCGTCGGACACCACGGTACAGCTGACTGGTACTGTAACTACGTCGAGGTCACCACCACTGGGCCCCACGCTCAGTGTGCTCAGCAGTTGTTTACCGTTGAACAATGGCTTTCTCCTCCTGACCAGCTCTCTGCTGTTGTTGATAATTGTAAGAATAATCATGGTCTCAAACGACGTCGTCCTGCCAATGCACTTCTTCCTGTTGAAACGCTCCTTGCTGCCTCCTCTTCATCGGTTTATTGATTACTCAGTGTAATTTATGATTGAGTTTGATTATGCGTTACTTTCCATTCAATAAAATATTTTGTTTTTGTATCATCGCTTAAATAATTATCGTAGTTTTTAATTGCAATTAGCATCGTATTTGATACTCATACCATTATGTGTTGTCCAATTTTCTCTAATCTCCATCTTATTACTTATTATAATATTCATCTAAAATATTCTAAAAACCTTTGCTTAACAAAGTTGTAATATATACCTCCGTTACAGGTTACGTGCAACGATTAGACATTTTCCCTCTTTGCTTTATGTCAAATCGTTGCACATGACATATAACGAAGGTAGACGTAGTAATACTTTTATAACATTTAGACGAATTACAACATTTAGACGAATTACAGTTTACTAAGGTGGACTCTTTTGAGTTTGCCTCAAACGGTTTACCAAAGCTTAATTCCGACTACAACTGGATCTAATATAGGTTGCACAACTTAGCTTTTGGTGGATGAGTCTCTCGTTTTCTGTATTTGGTGATCCGTTAAGCGATATCAAATTGCTTATCATTTAAGTTAACTGTTGTTGGCTACTAAGATAGACCGACAATTTAAAAAACACCTAATTCAAATTATTGATCATGGACAATTGTAGAATTGGTCATCAATGTTAATGATAAAAGGGACATTTATTTATACGGTATCTTTGTTGGAGAGTTGTAGGTGTGGACATGATAAAATTGCCAGGACAATGACAAACAATTAAACAACAAATCAATCCACCAATACAGCGGCCACGTGACACGTCTCTAGCTACCTGAAAGCAATTTGGTTGACATATTATACTTTGCTGAACGAGTTGAGGGGATTTGTTTCTTTTTTTAAAAAAATAGAGTCGAGGGGATCGGATCAAACCACGTGGATTAGGCGAAATTGGCGGAGCTTTTATTCCAAGAGGATCATTCAAATCATGATTCATGATGTTTAGGATGCGTCTTGTCTTGTTGATTTTATTTTCACTTATTTTAAGGTTAATAAGTTTAGATAAAATAAGTTTAAATAAGTTATGATAAGGGTTATCAAGTTTAATTTATAATTAAAATAAGTTCTAATAAAGGCTAATAAGATCAGATAAGTAAAAAACAGGTGAATAAAACACACCCATATATATTCAGTGCTTTTTTTTTTTTTTCTTTTTTCTATACCACCTGCTAGTCTGCTACACTCGGAGTCGGATGTTGTTAATTTATAGAAACATTTTTTTTTTACTGAAATTTATAGATACATCTAAATAAACATAAGTATGCCAAATTTTTATTATACTTTGTTAAATATTTGACATTTGGCATCCATAATACTTAATACTACATTTTATTTTTATTTTTTATATAAAATGGAATTTTTCTAATGCTATAACTAAACTTTTGTTTTGTTTTTTTTTTTATCTTTCTTCCAAATAATACTATTGAATTATTCTAATAGCTATAGTAAACCTACTGTTAGTTAGATTTAGAATTTGATTAGTTTTTTAATTAAATTCAGTTTGGCTCAAGTGTTTAAAATGGAGCTCGATTAATGGCTTGGCTCAAGTTCAAAATCTTAAAAGTTTGATTTTGAAATAGGCTCGTTTAGGCCCATAAATACATAATCTATGCCACATAACTTACTTAACTACCTAAGTTTTTGAAAGAACCTGCAGCTTAGCAAATATTATAGAAATCAACCAAAATCAGCATCAGTACAAAGAATCCCCTGTATCTCAAGAGGACACTCCTCAAGCCACACTCAGTACTCACTGAAATTAAAACTTAAGTTTACTAAGCTATGTGCAACGGTGTGTTACCCGATCTTCAGACAAAAGAGAAAGAAACATGCTGGCAGCCACGAGCAAGAAGAAGGATATCCCTCACTACTCCACCAAAGGCACAAGGAGAAGTAGTACCTTTCTTCATATGATGAAAAAGCTTCAAGTTATCGGTTTCAAGAATGAAGTTCCTAAAGCCCGCTTCCATTGCAATTTTCAAGCTCGATCTCATAGCAATTGCTTCACCAACATCAACCTCAACTCTTCCATTCTCTGTCGAGCAGTAGGCTACCATAGCCTCTCCCTCCGCATCCCTTAAGATACCCCCAACACCCGGAAACTGCCCCTGGAAGGCTACATCCGAGTTTAGCTTGTACATACCCGCTGCTGGAGCCTTCCACCTTGAACTGAAACGCTGCTCCTGCTTCCCCATCTCCTCCCTTTCATTCGCCTTCTCAAAGTCCCCCACCATGCCTACAGCTTTATGTAAGATATCGGGTACCCACTTCTCTTGTTTTTCAAAAACCCACACATTCCTCTTGAGCCAAATACCCCAAGCCAAGCTCCAGAAATTGTGCCACCACTTCTTTTCCTTGACTTTTACAAACATAGCATTACACCATCCACGAAAGCCATCAGACTCAACTAAATTTACATCTAAACGCAGGACAGAATGCCTCCAAATTGAGCTTACAGTTGGGCATAGAAGCAGCATATGAACGGTTGTTTCTTCACCCTCCCCACACATTGGGCAAATGTGATCCACACTCAAACCCCTTGCCACCAGCCTACTCAAGACAGGCAGCCCCTCCCTAACACACCTCCACACAAAGAGCTTAATCTTTGGAGGAATACCAGCACTCCAAATACTCTTCCAATTGAAGGAAACACTGCCATTAGATGTAGAAGCTTTACCCCTTACCTCTTCTTCAACAAGCAGATTATATGCGCTTCTTACACTATATAGACCATCCTTCGAATAGTGCCAAGTCCATTCATCTTCTTCTTCAAACATAGCTATGGGAATGCTGCAGATTTTTTCAACTTCACCCTGTGAGAATAAACCAGCAAGCTTGGCCATATTCCACCTAAGTTATAATAGTAGGCTATTATTATTGTGCTTATTAACTTTTTTTAAATGTAAAAAAAAAAAAAAAAATTTAAAAAAAACATTTCTTTAAAAAATTAATTTGAGCAGCCCACGAGTTTTTTTAGTTGATTTTAGCATGACTTGTGTATCATCTCGTTTAGTCTCAAGCCATTCCGTGAAATTTACATAATACACCAGGGTGTACCATGAGCATGGTACACTTTGCCTTCCACGTTGGATTTTACATAAAAAAAAACAAAAAATTTAAAATAAAAACTTCCACAATTCATGCTAGCAGGGGAAAAAAAAGAAAAAAAAAAACTTCCACAATTCATGCATGATTATCTCCCTTGCTGTAACTTCCACAATTTAAATTGCACCAGGTTTTCAACTTTAATTATGGAGAGAGAATGTTTTGTTAATTTCCACCATTTTTAAATTTGAATTTAGAGAGAATTACAATTACAATTTTACAAACAATTATATTGACAACCCAAATTATAGAGAATTTAGCAATATAATGTCCTACCAATCCGAATTTTGCCATGATTCAGATTCGAGATTCGTCAATTATGATCTAGATAATGATGATATTGACAATGGAGGTGAATTTGAAGATATTGTAACCGATGGAGAAGGTAATTTTTTGGTTTTTGTATGATTTTTATTTTTTTAATTTTGGTTATTATGTCAACATAAATTTGTTATTATTATGTTAAGTTTCAAATCAGAATTTCTAATTTTTATTGAATGTTTTAATTCCTTATATTTAAGTATTTATATTATAGAATTTTATATACATTCGATTTTTCGATTTTCGGTTGGAGGTTGATGATGAAGTTCTTTTTAAGTGACCCTTATGTTCTTTGCTATTTTAACAGACTAATCAATAGGTTGTGTACTCTTCAAATTATGTTGGTTGATTGTAGGAGCTGAGTCATGTTCTTTTTAAATTTATATTACTTAAGTCAACGGTTTGTTGTGGTAAAGATTGATGTAGTAACTTTTTAAGGAATAATTTTATAAAATTTGATATAAAATATAATATTAAAGAATTTTTTTTGTTAAACATATAAGACATTTACATTACAGTAGTAATTATATGAACTATTTAGTATACTTATTTATTTTGCATTATTTTATGTTATAATGTACATTCATATGTTATATAACGAACATAGCTTAATTTATTTTTGTAGGTTTTACTGAGGCAAAAGAATCCGAATTGCTTCATAGAAAAGTGAAGTCAGACGAAGAGGCATATGATTTATATAATAGATATGCATTCAAACATGGTTTTGGTACACGTAAAGGAAAGTTGAATACTAGAGAAGACAAGGTTACAATTCGACAGCGATTTTGTCAATGTTCTTATGTTGGGTTCAAGAGGGTTAATAAGCCTGGTGCTGAACCAAAGGTGTATAAAAAAAGAGACTTCCGTACCGGATGCAAAGCCATGATTCAATTTGATGTAGACAAGGATTCTGGTTTGTTTGTTGTAGTTAAGCACCTTATGGAGCATAATCACAGCAGAGTCCCTGTTTCAAAGAGGCATTTGATCAGGTCACATAGAAAGGTTAGGGCACACTCATTAAGTTATTAAAGAACATTGATTTTATATTCAATGTACATTACTTTATTTCATAATGTACATTATATGATAACTAGCTGAACATTATTTGTTTAATTGATTATAGGTCACTGGTGAACAGGTTGCTATGCTTAGTAGTTTAACTGAGAATGGTATAACTATTGCTGAAGTTGTCCGTGTTTTGAAAGGTCAAGCTGGAGGTGAGGCAAATCTTAGTTTTTTGTGTAGAGATGCATATGGTGTTTTAGCTGCGGAGAAGAAAAAAAAAAATTGATGGTTGTGATACAAAGCAATTACTTAGTTACTTTAAAGAACGAAAATCTAAAGAATATGACTTTTATTATGATTTTGATGTTGATGAGAAGGTCATTTGCAATCCTTCTTCTTTCGTGATAGTAGAATGAAGGTTGATTATGAGGCTTTTGGAGACTTATTGGTCCATGATACTACATATCGTACAAATAAATATGCTATGATTTGCGGTCCATTTGTTGGTATGAACCATCATAATAATAATGTTATGTTTGGGATTGGATTTTTGATTAATGAAAAGTGGGAGTCATTTGTGTGGTTGTTCAATACTTTTTTGAAATCTATGAGAGACAAACATCCTGTCACATTAATGACTGATCAAGCTCAAGCAATGGCCAAGGCAATTAAGATTGTCTTTCCAAACACTCGGCATCGATTATGTACTTGGCATATTGGGGAGAATGCAAAGAAAAACATCAAAGGACTTAAAGCAAAGGATGGTTTCAATGACTTATTTGATATTGTTTTAAAGTACACCGATACTATGGCAGAATTTGAGCATTATTGGTCAAGGTAACATTATGCAATTTTTTTTTTCTTATAAAATATTCCGTTACATTTTAGTTGCAATTTTAGGATATAAAATGTGAAATGTAAAATATTATAGTTTTAATGATCTAGCTTTATCAACGATATGTTCTTTTTTTCTCAACGATATGTTCTTTTTCAATACAATGGATATACCTTTTTCCCAATATTGAATGTTGTACGGTTTTAGTCCTATGTGTCCTGTTTAATAAGATTCCATTTATTTTATTCATGTGATAATCACAATAAAATATCCAATCTACCTTACTAAATGAATGTTACTTAGTATAGATCCTATATATTTATTTATTTCAAATTGTAAAATATTTCGTACTATAACATAGTGTAGATTGGGTGAATTTGTTGTGAGAAACTTGTTTCGAACGACGGCTCCTATGCCCTTAGAGCAGAGTGAAGCAGAAATTCCCTCGCCCAGGAGGCTGCGGTCAAGATAAATAATAGTACGCACGTACATTCAAAGTTTTTGAAGCTATAAATTCAAGGAATTAAAAGAAACTTTTAACAAAACCTTGAATTTAAAGAAACCTTCCTTATCGAAGGAGGCAGGAAAGGAACGCCCTCATCCCATTTCCTACCAGAAATGGTAAGGGCGGATAGCAACATTAACCACATTAGCTACATTAAGAAGGAACGCGACCCCCCAACCCCACGGGGGAGAAGTTTACAAAAAATCTATTTAGTAGACTTCATTTCAAAAAGACAGAAGATTCAAGTCTTTTTGAAATCATCGTAAGTGACCATTGAACCATTTCGAGGCTGCCTAATAAGCAGGAACATTCACAACAACAGGTCATAGACTTATAAGTGTGAATGAATGACTCGGAATGACAAGACGACAATGGTTGTGTAGCCGATGCTTTACCGGCCCTTTCAGAATCAACTCACGAATTCACTAAAAGCCCCTCCGAGAACCGCTACCTATTGCAAAGCGGGGGCTTTAGCTTAGGGATTGAGGTAATTCGAAGGCTACACGTGAAAGGATTCTTTAGATGTATGTTTCCCTCCTTGGACATCTGAGAAGGTATACTACTTGACGTAGCAGGACGCGAGGCAAGGCTTATCTGCTCGGGATAGACAACTTTTTACCCTTGCACCCTGTGAAAAGGTTGGTACCCGAAAAAAGACAAGCGTGTAAACGCGTTGATTCGGGGGTTATAAAAGGTCCAACTCGCTGTAACCAGAGGAATTTAAAAATTCGCTCTCGGTTACCGGACTGAAGCCGTAAAACCTAGCTCAAAACACCAAAGCCCCAAAAGGGCCCTTGCGAGCCTTAGCCATTTAGGAAAGGGCTCGTTCCGGGGAGATACTTCGGATGAAGAAGGGGAGACCTTACTTTCACACGCATGAAAGCGAACGACGCGACGGGGGTAACCAAATATAGCAGCTTCCAGTCCCTTATTTTCCTTAAAAAACTGGAAAAAAGGGACAGTTCGAAACAAGTTTCTCACCCGACAAGGCAACTGAGAAAACCGAATTCGCCCCAACCTCGAATTTGGATTTTCGAACCCCAACCCACGGGGGGAGCACAGACACAGCGGAGGAGCGAAGCTACGACTTGTGAGTGAGAAACTTGTTTCGAGACCAAGTAAGCTGTCAGAACCTTCGGTCGGAGCGTAAAGCTGTTTACTAAAACAGTTCAAGCCTTAACCGAGGAAAGTTCGAAAAGCTAAGGAAGCAAGGCAAGCATCAGCTTATATCCTCAAAAACCGTATACTTAAAGAAAGGAATAGATGTTGTAGCTACCGCTTTCTAAGAAGTGAGTGAGACCGGGGCGGGCTCACGAACGTTTAAGTATAAGCTTGAAAGAACTAAGCTTCCTCTTTAAGGGACTAAGCTGGGAGTTTGTTCTGTCTCAATAAGTCGAGGAAGGATTATTTTATGAGCCTCTTCTCATTGGATTTCACGATCCCGGTCGCTTGTTTCTGCCCCCGCTCCTTTCCCGGACTCCAAAAAAGGTAGGGAAAGAGAGCAAGGGGCAGCCTTATTGCAGTTCCTTCCCCCCCGAAGGGGGTCTTCGGGGGGGGGGGGTAATGGTCCGATTAATCGGCACGAAAAATCTAAAATACTGATGCTACGAATTACGGAAAGAAAGTCTCATCCTTCACTCCCTGGGGGAATATTGATGAAGTATACCGTCGTTTCGTTTTCGGGGCATGCGAAGGTGTTCAAGCTTGTAGGAGGGTCACTACTCTTTTACTAGTATAATTTATTTTAAACTATATTTTGTTGAAGTGCTACATGCTCCAGTTTAAAGATTTGTGTACGATCATTGATTATTTAATTCAATACATGTTCACTTAATTAATTTAATTTCTTCTTTTTGTTTTCACTTTATGTTCACTTAATTAACTAGTAATGTACTTTTTAATTTCAGCATGACTCAAAAATACAATTGCAAGGAGAACAAATGGCTTAGCAATTTGTATAATATTAGAGAGATGTGGTGTCCTGCATACTCGAAAGACTACTTTAGTGGTGGCATTCTCTCATCTCAAAGGAGTGAAACAACAAACAAATCGGTTTCTCATAGACTTCATGTCACTCATGGTCTTTGTGATTTCTACAATTCGTTCCTTGAGGTTGTTGATGAGTGGAGGAGAAAAGAAAGCAGTAAAGATTATGATAGTATGACAGGTAATCGACACTTAGTGTGGGCAGATGTGGGATTGTTAGAGCATGCAAGAAAGGTTTATACCATTCAAGTCTATCTACAATTCGAGGATAATTTTGTGAATGGTGTGCCTTGCACTGCAAAGGTAATAGCAATGCAACCTCCTCTTTATGAATATCATGTTGGGCATCCCAAAAAAGATTTGATAATGCATACAGTTACTTTTGATGAATCAACGGTAACAGTTGAATGTACCTGTAAGCACTTTGGCGAAGTGGGGCTACTATGTAAGCACTCACTTCGTGTACTACACTTGAATAACATCACCTACATTCCGAAACGATATATTGTGAAGAGATGGACAAAGGCCGCCATGTGCACTAGGGTTGATGACAATGTTGTTGCTGAATCAGGTATCACTCCTTCTAATGTTTGGAGATTACATTCTATTAGGACCTTTATTAGGCTTGTCGATCGTGGGCAAAATGACATAACTACTCGAACTGTCATTGAAGAAGCTATTGATGATTGTACTAATAGAATCGATCTATTATTGAGAAAGGATGAAGAAGAAACCACACAATGTTCAAACGTCAATGATGAATCAGCTACACAATATAATGGTGACGGCAACCTGTTGGAACCACAAGATAATTTAGAGGAGTGTGTTGAAAGAATAGATGTGGGTGATCAAAAACAGGTTGTGGACGATATTGATGTTAAGGACCCTGTTAAGAGAAGGAAGAAAGGACAAAGAAACACAAGACTAAAGAGCACTCAAGAAAAGATATGTAACAAGCTTAAAGGTCAAAAAATCAAGTCATGGAAAAAAAAGAGTGCTAGAGGGGTTTCTAAAATGAAACAAAAGGCGCAAACTACAATCAAGGTATTGTATATTATTACATAATGTTCTTTTATTCTAAAGTTTATGTTCTTTTATTATGAATGTGCTCTTGTAAATTTGTGAGTTACAAAATGTTCTTTTTCATTCATGTATAAGTTCATTGCAGGGTATACTGGTATTCTTTTTTCGAAATATATCCTCTTATCATTACCTTCTATTCATTTCATTTTATTTATTTGTAGGACTCTATGGCAGTACCTCAAGGAAATATTTTGGCGCATTCATCTGAATTTGGAGGGTCCTTAGAGTACGTTGAGCCAGATGAATACTTTGGAATAAATATTAGTCCTTTCTAAGTTACACACGATAGATAGAGCACTAGTATTGATTTTTTTTTTTTTTAAAAAAAATTTATTTTACATTTTTTTATTTGGTTGCAAAAAATTGGATTGTCATTGACTTTTGAGCATGAGTATTTTATTAATTAAAGATTGCTAAATATTACTATTTTATAATTGCACATTGTACCTATAATACATTTTCCATGGGCCCACTGAAATTTGAAGTGCAATATTATATCAGTAAGAATACATTGATATATATCACTATTTTTGTAAGCAAAATTATCCTTTCTTACTATTTCCATCGACCGTAGTTCATGTTCATGTATTTATTAGTTCATGTTCTTCAATTTCGACCAATATGTTCCTTATCAAAGTACACTATGTACTTTTATCAAAATCATATTCATATGACTTTTATTTTTGTCTGATTTTTTAATACTTTGGTATTGAATTTCACACGTTTTACACCTTGAGGCGTTGTTGATTAAAATATAATGCATAATCTTTTCACAGCAGTTTAACTTATTGTTTAAAGGCATTGGAATGATAATTAAGTATAACACAAAGAATATAAAGTATAATAAAAAAGAATATACTTCACATATAAAAGTACATAGAAGTAATATCATGATTCCAACCAAAAACAACGCATTTCATAAAATAATTAATATGTTTTACATCAATTATACTCCAACTTATTGAATTATATTTCACACTTTAAAATTCCAAGAAAGAGTCACCAACTTCCATTGTCAAAAAGATAAACAAAAACACAAACTAGCCACATTGTTCAAAATAACAAAAAAAAATCAGATATATCATCATCCAATTTGAAAAAAAAAAATAAGATTAAAATATGCTTCTTTGCAAGATGATTGAAATCACCCATTGTTCCAAAGAATGTTTTAAGCCTTTTCAATTAAGAATCTCTTGGCGCGAACACGAACATCTGCATCGAATGGGTTGAGGTTGCTGGTGAGAAGCTCAAAAGTGTATCGTTTTTTCAACGCATCAAACTGAAAAACAAAATTAAAATTTATTAACATAAACAAAAAGTCCTAAAATAGCATCTAGTAAAAATTGAAATTACATAACCTACATTTTGGTAATCTAAACCACACTCCCATGATTTGTTTCCATTATAAGTTTCCATGTGACGCATGGTATATATGCCACAATCAACTTCATTATTCACAGTTTGCCAGGGCGTTGTAAACAACTTCACAGTGTACGATGGCATTTTTTCATGAAGTTTAATATTTTTCCGTCCAAGGTACATTTTAAACGCCTTCAACTGTAAAAAAATATAAAAAAAGCAACAGTTTTTAAAGATTACTGAAAATGTGTCAGAAATAGTCATTAAGCAAAATTTTGGATATATCTTACTATTTGTTCCGGAAAGTCCTTATATTTTTTTGCCATGTCCATACCATCTGGAATTGGACTACTATCAATAATCTCGATTGTTCTTGATTTAGTGTTGACGACCAAAACATAATAATGATCAAACGCGTACACGGAAAAGAAGAATTGAATCATTAAAATATATGAGTTATGGTTTGATATTTTAACAGTACTATAAACAAATATATATATATCAAAAGAACATGCTCCTAAATAAAAAGAACATGCTTTCTAAATGAAAAGAACATGCGTTCTAAATAAAAAAGAACATGCTTTCTAAATGAAAAGAACATACCTTCTAATTAAAGAGAACATGTCTTCTAATTAAAGAGAACATGCGTACTAAATGAAAAGAACATACATTCTAATTAAAGAGAATATGTGTTCTAATTACATAAAACATGCTAGTTGAAAAAAATAATATACATTTTTATAAAAACCTTACCAATTGGAAACCTTTGACTGACTTCATCTTATTATCAACCAACCAATCATCAATTGCTTCCTCAAACTTTTGTTGTTTCAACATAGGAGTGGCAACTTGACTATCATCTTTGTAAGCATCATTCATGCATAAGTAATTCTAAGCAAACATAATAAAAAATTGAATTTAAAAAAAAAATACAACAAAAGAAATTGATCATTACATATGTGGATAAAATAAATCAAAAAATTAATTAACCAATACTTACAAATGCACTATTTGGGAAGAAAATTCTCTTCTCATTTGATACAGAATTTTTATAATTAAGGTTAAACGACCAAGCATCCACAATTTCAATGCATATGCCCACATCATGACCAAGTGATTTGATTATCTCTCTTGATATCATTGTATGACCATCATCATACAATAATTCCCTGAATCATTAAAATAATTTCAATAACTTATAAATTCTAAAAGAAATGCTGATCGAAAATATGATATAGAGGAAAGCTTACTCATCATCCAAATGTTGATCATATGCATATTCCAAAATAGCATTTTGGAGGTCGTCCGATTGTTCTAGTAGATGCGAGTATCTAAAAGAATGTTTTCGGTTTTTTCCTCCACTTGATTGTCCACTCTATCAAACTCTCTATTGCATAAGAAGACCAATCATATTCTGGAATCTTCTTGGTGTCGGTCGTTGTACTCAAAAATCTATTAAAAAAGAACATCATTAACACAAAATAAATGAACAAACCATAGAATTACAAACAACATACAACATGCACGAAAAGAACATACTATGTAATCAAAATGAACATACTATAATAATGAAATTTTCATATTACATGAATTGACAACTAAAACAAGGAAGCTCCTTCGCCAGTCATCATCAAGTGGAGTTGTTTCCAAGCATAGATGTATTGCCAAGTCCGTCAAAGTAGGCACTCGACCTCCATGATAACCCTTGAATTGCCTTACCAATTCATCATACTCCTTTTCACCGGGCTTAGCTTCTACAATTTTTTTTCCTCCTAATGGTACTCCATATACCAGATGGACATCAATTGCCTCGATACTTAAAACCTGATTTCTACCACAAACTATGCACATCTCATTAATCTCCAATTTATCTACCAGCATAGTAGCAAACTCGGGTGAATTCTTTGGTAGATCAAGGTGTAAAAATCCACCAAACCCCATGTTCTTTATTGCTTGCAGCTTATGCACTTGATTTTCTAAAGCAACCACCAAGTTCATTAAGAGTTGTATTGTATGCCTAGGCTTCACAACACCTCTACCAAGAACATTGGATTTGTTCTCCTCATCCTCTTCTTCATCCTCATCTATTTTTGCTTTCTTTTTTCTACAAGTAGGTTTCACTTTTAACACCTCCTTTGGTATAGCAACTAGTGATGATGTCGTACCTGATTGGAAAGATGATTGTGTAACACCTACCATAGTTTTCTCAACAACCTCAAGGCTAGCCACTTCAATTGGTGCCCTCCTCTTCTTTAGCACCAATTTGTTTTCTTTTGGAGCAACATCTTTGAGTGCCTCCCTAGTAGCTGGATTCATTGGATCTGCATCACCTTCTTTTCTTTGTTTAGGATCACCTTTCTTACTGACTAAAAGAACATTGTATAATAATTTAAAGAACATACTTAATATTCATTAAGAACATCATATATAATTCATATGTACTTTGTGATTTGACAAATGTTAATTAAAAAAGTGCATATGAATTATATATGAGAACATATAATTAATAAATAAAGTACATTTTTCATACTTTAATACCTTTTTTTAGTAGCTATTTGCTTAAATCGATAATCTATTTTCTTTTTTGGCAGAGCCTGTTCTTGAGGTTGTGATGCCTTTTCGGATTTGATTGCATTGGGTACAACTTCGTCAACTCTGTATGACAGACTTACAAAATGAGATCTTGAATGAAAAAGGGATATATAGTGGTCATATAAATCTTAGCTTACTAGTTGATTTTTATTTTCAGCTTTAATTTAATAAAGTGATCTCAAAATCAATTCATACAGAACCTATCTCAATCATAACACTAATCACACTAAAATCAGATTTTATGGAATATGGGCATACAAATTCACCACACAAGTAGCTAAATAAGTAATACAGGATCAAAACACAAGGTGTGGACTAAAAGAATGTTTTCCGTGAGTCGTTTCCTTCATTGCTCATTAATATTTATACAAATATACACAGTATAATCTAGGCATAATCCTAGGCAAATATCAAGGAAACTAACTAAAACATATCCTATAAACTAGGAAACAATATATACGTTGACTAAGCTAATTATTTACATAATTATCTTAACACACCCCCGTAGTCAAAGCGGGAGGGCAACGGACGCTGAGACTATCTCAAAAATCTTCAAATAATATACGCGGAAGCCCCTTAGTAAAAATGTCCGCAATTTGATGACGAGTAGGAACATGAAGAACTCGAACATCACCACGCGCAACCTTCTCCCTAACAAAAAGTATATCCATTTCAATGTGTTTAGTTCGTTGATGATGCACTGGATTACCCGAGAGATTTATTGCGCTTACATTGTCACAATAAACTAAGGTAGCCTTCCTTAGTGGACAATGCAACTCAAGTAACAAATTTCGAAGCCAGCAAGCTTCGGACACCACATTTGCAACTCCCCTATACTCGGCCTCGGCACTTGACTTGGAGAGTGTAGGCTGTCGTTTTGATGACCATGATACCAAATTATCCCCTAGATACACACAATAACCCGACGTTGAACGCCTAGTATGGGGGCACCCTCCCCAATCCGCATCAGTGTAGGAGATGAGAGACAAGGTAGAAGAAGGATATAAGTGTAGCCCATGTTCCTTAGTACCTTGAATATAGCGAATGATTCTCTTGAGAGCGGCCATATGACACTCCTTAGGGTCGTGCATATGCAAGCACACCTGCTGGACTACGTATGAGATGTCTGGCCTCGTAAACGTGAGGTATTGCAAAGCCCCTGCCAAGCTGCGATAATGAGTAGGGTTAGCATAGGGAGTACCTGTCGAACCCACCTTCGGCTTAGTGTCAACTGGTGTGGCTGATGGCTTGCAAGATGTCATACCTGCCCTTTCAATTATTTCCTCTGCATACTTACGTTGGGATAGAAAAAGACCCCCTTTGTGCCTAGTAACAGAAATGCCAAGAAAATAATTTAAAGGACCCAAATCCTTCTTAGCAAATTCAGAAGCAAGGAGAGACATAATAGAGCATCGAAGAGCATGAGATGAAGCTGTCAAAATGATGTCATCCACATACAATAATAGATATGCCGTTTGTGACCCCGATCGATAAATAAACAAAGAATTATCAGACTTGCTATTAATGAAACCAATAGATGACACATAATCAGCAAACCTTTTATACCATGCCCGGGGTGCTTGCTTAAGGCCATATAAGGACTTATCCAACAAACACACATAATCTGGATTAGTCTTATCACGAAAACCAACCGGCTGATGCATATAAACCGTCTCCTTTAGCTCACCATGTAAAAAAGCATTTTTTACATCAAGTTGATGAATAGGCCAAGCTTTTGACAAAGCTAGACTAAGAACAGTCCGAATAGTTGCCGGTTTGACCACCGGACTAAAAGTCTCTCCACAATCAATGCCCGCCTGTTGAGTTTTGCCATCACCTACAAGACGGGCCTTATGCCTCTCAAAAGAACCGTCAGATTTCACCTTATGAGTAAAAATCCACATAGAACGAATGACATTAACATTAGGCGGACGGGGCACCAACTCCCACGTCTTATTTTTAATAAGATCATTAAATTCATCATCCATAGCCATTTTCCAATTAGGGTCACGTAAAGCATCTATTGGGTTACAAGGAATAGGAGATTTTGTAACCTTAGAAACAGTAGCAACATTGCAATATTTTTTATTAGGCTTAAAAATACCATGTTGGCTACGAGTGACCATAGTGGGACGAGGAGTGGGCTGAGGAGGGATGGAGATAATGGGTTGGACAGTTGGTGTGGGTGAGATTGGGGGAGGAGTAGTGTTTGGGTTGTTTTGTGGTTGCGGCCCAGCAGAGGGGGGGAGGCCGTGAGATGAGAGGGAGATTGTGGAGCTGTGTGGGCTGGGCTTGTTGGAGCAGTCGGCCCAGCAGAGAGAGGAAAGGAAGGGGCGGCTTGTTCATGTAAGGGAGGTTGGGCCGAGTTACTAGGCCCAGTAGATGAAGCAGCCTGCATATGGTTAATCAGATACGGGGAAAAACCATCATCCAAAAAATCATAAGAAGTAGTAGAGGGAGTATGCAACTTAGCAAATGGAAACACGGTTTCATCAAATAGCACATGACGACATATGATAATTTTGTTTGATGAAAGATCATAACATTTATAGCCTCTATGGTTCGGAGGGAAACCTAAAAATACACAAGGAGTGGATCGGGGTTAGAGTTTATTTATTGTGGTGGAGGGGAATAAAGGAAAACATACACACCCAAAAACTCGTAAGTGAGAATACGAAGGTTCCCTTTGATAAAGAACACTAAGAGGAGACTTGTTGCCTAACAACTTGCTAGGTAAAATGTTATGCAAATAAGTGGCCATTTGTAAAGCATGGTGCCAAAAAGGAGGTAAAGAGGCATGAGAGAGAAGAGTGCGAGTGATATTATTAAGAGATCTCAATTTTCTTTCGGTTTTACCATTTTGTGAAGACGTATGTGGGCAAGAAAGACGGAAAGACAACCCATTTGACTCACAAAATTCCCAAAAAGAACTATTATCATACTCCCGCCCATTGTCACATTGGATGTTTTTTTATAGGACGCTCAAATTGTGTGCGGATGTAGGATTGAAAAGCTAAAAATTTATCATACACATCTGATTTTTTAGCCAAGGGAAAAGTCCACACAAATTTAGTAAAATCATCCAAAACAAGCATGTAATAACGATGTCCCGAAGAACTCAAAACAGGAGATGTCCAAATATCACTATGTATAATATCAAACGGCAAAGTAGTAGAAGACATAGAAGAATAAAAAGGCAATTTAATGTGTTTCCCTAGAACACAAGAATGACAAATGCTAGAACTAGTAGTTCGATTACATTCAATGCTTTTATTACTACGAAGAGTATGTAAAATACTCGACCCGGGATGACCTAAACGATCATGCCAAAGAGAAGGTGCTAAAGCTGCAAAACTCGAAGGTGAAGAATAATTTGTGGAAGTGGTGTTGGTGAGAGGATAAAGATCACCCGTGCTATTACATCTCATTATTGGCCTCCCCGTCCGATAGTCCTTCACAAAGAAACCATAAGGGTCAAACTCAACAGTCACATTATTATCGGTTGTAAATTTCCGAACTGAAATTAGATTTTTAATGAGTTTGGGAGCATGGAGAACATTGTTTAGGGACAAGGGAGGATTAAGGGAAGAGAGAGTAGTATGACCACAACCGTTAATTGGAATAGTATGACCATTACCAACAATAATACCATGATGATTGCTCAAATTAAAATAAGACGAGAGATTACCGTTGGAGGATGTCATATGAGAAGTGGCTCCGGTGTCCATGTACCATGAGGGGTCGAGTTGATTCAACGTCATAGTGTGCATAGCCGCTTCAATGTCGGTTGGAGCGTACTGCATAGGCTGAGTTGAAGCTGCATAGGCTTGTGGACGAGGACCCAATAGACCAGGCTGCTTTGCTTGTGGGCCTTGAGGACGAGCCCAGCCCAGATTGGGGTATGGGCATGGAGGGGTAGCCCATTGAGGCATCCATCCCCAACCCGGGTACTGTGCCCAGCTGTCAGGGAGCCGGAGGAGCCTGCCACTGTTGCTGCTGTTGGCCGGAGTTCCCTCGGCCGCCACCTTTGCCACCGGAGTTGCCACCCTTGCCACCGCCGCCTTTTCCACCGGAATGCTTGCGGTTGCCTGTATTTTTCTGCTTATTGCGGCCACGAGAACCCCCAGCATTATCATGACCATCATCAGAATTATCCCGGGACTGAACCACCATGGCTGACGCAGCCCCTGTTGCGGCTTGCTTTGCGAGACCGACCTCCTCCAGCGTAAGCATCGACCGTGCTTGAGAAAACAGAGGAAGAGGATTGCTCTGGCGAATAAGGGTCGCAACTCCCTTGTAAGCCTCGGTAAGACCCGAAACCAATTGAAGAACCAACCTATTATTGTCCACCGGAGCAGCAACACCGCGCAATTGATCGGAGAGACTCTTGAGATGCTGACAGTAAGCAGAGACGTTTGGAAAATCCTCCATTTTGGTGGTCGAAAATTCCTGTTCAAGGGTCAAAGCACGAGAATTCTGATTATCCTGAAATAAATCACGCAACCTATCCCATGCCTCCATTGCCGTAGCGTCTGGTTCCATGATGGTGAGCAATAGATCGTTGGAGATGGTGGAATAAATCCACGAGAGGACAGCAGCGTCCAGAACAGACCATGTCTCCTTTTCCTCGTCAGTGACAGGGACCTTCGCCTTCTCCTTAGGCGGAGGGATAATATGGTCTAACACCTTGTGAGATCGAGCATGAATTTCAAACAATTCAGCCCAAGTAGAGTACTGTGCGTCCTTCAATTCGAGAACAACAGGGATGTTGTGCTTGATATTGTTGACAGTAAGAGCAGGGTGGAAAGAGGATTTTGATTCCCCCATAGCAGAGAAGAAGAAGAAGAGAAGAAGAGTAATGGCGGAAGATTGATCGCCCTAGACTGCTGATACCATAAAAGAATGTTTTCCGTGAGTCGTTTCCTTCATTGCTCATTAATATTTATACAAATATACACAGTATAATCTAGGCATAATCCAAGGCAAATATCAAGGAAACTAACTAAAACATATCCTATAAACTAGGAAACAATATATACGTTGACTAAGCTAATTACTTACATAATTATCTTAACATGGACTATCTTGATAATGGATTCCAATATCCATATCAAGATCAATCACCGCAATAAAAATTCACTCATCTCAATATATAACTCCATGTCTCCATGGATTAAACGTCACTTTTCATTTCAACTTAAACTCAATTCTTTAATATTTTTTAAATTAGTTTAACTAACCATATCAAGCTTATCCACAACTACACAGAGCAAGAATATCAAAGAACATGTACTCTTCTAAAAAAGAATATTATAACAAGACATAAAACAATATTATAAAAGAACATATACTTTTTCCAAAAAAAAATCATCATCACATTACAAAGAAAAATTAAAGAAAAACAATTAAAGAACATCAACATCTCACAAAGTATACGTACGCCTAACTATAAGGCTTTAGATCATTAGTATTTTAATGACCCTACCAACAACAAAATCCACCATTTCTAATATATTACTGTGAACAAAACAACATGCAAAGTCTAAAAAGTAGGGCTGGCAAACCCTGACCCGACACGAAAACCCGACTTGAACCCAACCCGAAGTTACTGAGAGAGACCCGAACCTGACCTGAACCGAACCCGAACAATCTGAATTCGACCCAATTTGACCCAAATTTCATATTTCTTAATAATATTAAGTTTTACACTATTTTTAATAGTTTCTAAGCATAACCCGAAATCGACCCGTAATCTGACCCGAACCCGACCTGCTGACCCGAATTGTCACCCCTACTAAAAAGTAATAATTTTATCTTACTTGGAACTATCATCCATATTGTTTATGGATATTAAGACTGTCGGGTCCACAATCGGAACTATGTCATCTACACCGACTGCACTTTTGCTACTTTTTTTAAGCAAAAAATTAGCAATAGGTAGCTCGTCCTCATCATCTTCTTGTCCTACACTGATAAACGACCACAAGTATAAAAAACAAACACATCAGATCCAATAACAAAATATAAAAACAATTAAAAAAATAAGGGAAATTCTCACTGGTGAACTCCAATTATTTAATTTTACAAGTGGTAAACATTCTTAAAATTAATTAAATAGAAAGAATAATCAATTGGTAACCTTAATAATGATTTAATCTAATTATTTAACTATAGTTAGGTTTTTTTTTTTTTTTTTGTAACAATAACATTTAACTATAGTTAGTTTTTTTTTCATTTTTTTTAACAATTATACTAAATAAAAAAATAAAAAAATTTAACCACCCCTTCCCCCACCAACTTCCAGCCCCTCCACCTCATCTCGGCGGCCGACACCCTACCCAACCATCGGCGGCCGACGCCCCTTCCCAACCATTGGCACCGACGACTGTACTTTTCTCCTTTTCCCCTAGTTTTTCGGCCCCCCAAACCCAATAACCCATTCGAAACCACCCTAAAAACCCGAAACCACCTGATGCGGTTCCAAGGCATCAATATTGTTATTATAATTATTTTTATTGTTATTTTTAGTTTGTTATTAGATGACCGAGTTTATTAGGATATTTTTGTTAGTTTAATTCGGTTAGTATAAGATAAGCTTAACTTTAAAGATCATATTTGCAAAATATTATCTTTACAAGTTAGAGTTAGTTTCCTAGTTAGATTAGAATTTGTTTTACCGATTTTTAGGCTAATTATTTAGCTTATAAATACGTGATGGTGTTTAACGAAAAGTATGATTGATTGATTTGAAATTTATAAAGTTTTACGTAAGCTTGTGCTTGTGTATTCTTGGCCTAGTTTAGGTTTTAAGCTCGTGTTGCTTAGCGTTTCTTGACCGAGACTCAAGATTCCAAACCTTTCAACTGCGATTGAAGGTTATATCCATCAAAAATCCATATCAAATTCGGTCATCTAATAATAAACTAAAAATAACAATAAAAATAATTATAATAACAATATTGATGCCTTGGAACCGCATCATATGATGCGGTTCCAAGGCATCAATATTGTTATTATAATTATTTTTATTGTTATTTTTAGTTTATTATTAGATGACCGAATTTATTAGGATATTTTGGCTCTTAAATGCTCCAAAAAAAGGTGGGGGAGGGACTAAAATGCTCCAAAAAAAGTTGAGAGGGATTAAAACTTACCCTTATACAATAGTCCAGGGACTGTATTTATGCTTTACTCAAAGTTTCAATCGTTCTTACTTTAATTGACAGAAATTACATTAGAAATTCCCCTTGTGAGGAGATGTTTAATTTTTGGGTTTTTCTACATTATAACCCTTTAACTTTTCGTTTTCTTCGATGTGGCCCCTCTTTTTGAGAAATCTACACTATAACATCAAAATACATTTAGTTTCCACACGGTAACATTGTCGTTAACAATTCCGTTAGTGGGGCCCACTCATCACTAAATAGAATTTTTTTTTTATCAATTTGCGTGTTGAAAATGGTTCCATTAAAGGGTTTGGGGGTATTTTGGCTCTTATAGGGTCCAAATTGAGCTTAGATTTAGCCAAAAAATAATATAAATGCCTCGTTCTGCATATTAAGAAATGTCTCGATTTGCGTGTTTACGTATTTAATTCGCAAAACGAGGCATTTATGTTATTTTTTTGCTAAATCTGAGCTCAATTTGGATCCTTAAGAACTAAAATAGCCCCAAAAACCTATAACGGAACCATTTTCAACACGCAAGTCGATAAAAAAAACATTATTTAGCGGTGAGTGGACCCCACTAACGAAATTTGTTAACGGCAAAATAACCGTGTAAAAACTAAATTTATTTTGAGGTTATAGTGTAGATTTCTCGAAAAAGGGGGCACATCGTAGAAAACGAAAAGTTAGAGGGTTATGTAGAAAAACCTTTAAATTTTTTTACCTTAAAAAAAAATAAAAAAAATAAAAAAAAAAAAAGCTTAAATTGATAGAAACGGTGTAGAAACGGTAATGGGAAGAAAGTTGGAGTATTGATTTCGAATATAATTCTCTTAAGAACAACCTCAAATATGAATATCGAGTAGAAAGATTTAGGGCATATTCAAACTCCTTTTCAACAAATTCAACTCATTCACTCATTAATCATTAGGTAAATTCTTTCATTGCCTACCTCTTTCGAATTCTAATTCTTACGTTGGCTAAGGTATTGTATTACAAGAATGTCAATTTGTGGTTTTGATTATGTTTTATGCCTTTAAATTGCATTCATAGATGTTTAATTTATGCCTAAACTAGTTAATTACTGGTTTTTTTTTTTCCCTGGAATTTGCTAGGTTCTGCTGCTAATACTTAATTGTTAACAATTGATTAAACCCATTATTAGTAATTTGGGTTTTTTCTTTGCAATTGAAACTTAGCTGCTTTTGAATCAGTTAGAGTGTTAGTAATTTAGTGTTTGGTTTGCAATTGAAACAATTCAGATTATTTGAGCTGTAAAATTCATATCGAAAGAGGATTTGAGAGATGATCGATTAGTATTCCTATGTCATGATGTATCTTTTGATTTCTACTTTGTTATCAGTAGTGTAGAGTTGTTTCACTTGTCTGTGCTCGTCATTTATTCAATTCATCATTTTGATATTGATTTTTTTTAGTACTATGTAGGATATATAGCTTTTAATTTTTGTAGTTTAGATGGATAAGAGGAATAAGAATAACTAGTTGTCGTCATTTATGCATAATGGGAAGCAGGTTCCTGTTGGTTACGCAAAGTGCTTCTTGTTCCCATTCTTGCTAATCACTAGGTTCTTGTCAATGTCATCATCAACTCAAGATAAATCTCAATTAGAATTGGACTTAATTGAATACTTTTAATTAGCTTCTGTTAATTCATGTAGCATAATCGTATGAAACCCTCAAACTTTATTATATCAACAGTAGTTTACTAGTGTATGAGTCTAACTTTTCTAAAAGAGTTTACAAATGATGCTAAACTTTTTACAGGTAAAAAATATTAAAATGTTTTGATTGTTGAAGTCATTTCTAGAAGAAAATTTTACGTTTGGAATTGGAAACTTAGGGACTAATTGGTAAATACTTTATCTTATAGGTTTCTTCTCATGGGTTGAACGTTGCAAACTTGACTCTTTCTGCGTCCTTAGTGAGAATAAGGAAGTTTGCTAGTTCAAATTGTTGATAAAAGGAACAACTTGCAATTCCAAGGTATGGTTTCTTCTCATGGACTCATATTTGGTGTGTTTTTGGTTACTTTTTTATTAGTTGAAGCATAGTAATTGATCTGTATGGAGCCACAGCTTACGATCTTTGTATGCATATTGGTGAAAGGTACTCGGAGGAGATAGTGATGACTTTAGCAGGAACTCCAGCATTTCGACCTTCCATTTCTGTCATAAAAGCTTTGGAGCTGAAAAGTTGTTTCGACATTGGCTTCAGATCCTTTGAGCACCTCAAACAAGCCCATGCGCGCCTTTTACGCCTTGGGTTGTGCCAAGAAATTCACCTCCTCGACGCCCTTTTGGGATATTACACTCAATTTGGCAACACCCAATATTCCAAACTTATTTTCGATCGGATCAATGAACACAACATCTATCTCTTTCCTACAATGATTAAACGGTTGGTTTCAAATGACTTGTTTGACGAAGCTATCAAATACTACCAATCTATGCGTTCAAAGAGCTTATTGCCCAATAGATTTACTACTTCATTCACACTGAAAGCTTGTGCTAGGATTTATGACTATCGGTCGGGATTGAAAATCCATAGCCTTGTTGTAAAATTGGGTTTTGATAAAAATATGTATGTTAATACTAGTCTGGTGTCCATGTACTCAAAATGTGGGAGTATATATGATGCTCATAAAGTGTTTGATAATATGCCGGAGAAAGATTTACGCTCTTGGAATGCGATTATTAGTGGATATCTTGATGCTGGAAAATTTTCTGAAGTTTTGAACTTGTTTAGAAGATTTTTGGGAAATGGTTTGAAACCAGATGGTTTTCCTCTTGCTAGGATTCTTTGTGCTTGTGCAGAGTTGGGCGCACTTGAATTAGGTGAGGGGATTCACAGGTATGTTAACTTAAATGGCTTAGGAAAAGATATGGCTCTAAATACCTCGTTGATTAACATGTATGCCAAGTGTGGATGTGTGGACAAAGCACGAGGCATCTTTGATCAAATGCTTAAAAGGGATGTAGTTGCTTGGACTACTATGATTCAAGGGTATGTAGCAAATGGTTTTGCAAAGGAAGCAATAGACATGTTCTTTGAAATGGAGAGAGAGAATGTAAAGCCTGATTGCAATGTCGTTGTTGCCGTGGTACATGCTTGTACAACGCTTGGAGCAATGAATTTGGGAGAGCGGGCAATCAACTCCCTTAAGTGGGAAGAAGTGGTGGCCAACCTTCCTCTTGGAACAGCCGTAATTGACATGTATGCTAAATGTGGGAATTCTAACTCTGCATGGAAAGTTTTTAAAGAGATGAAGGAGAGACATTGCAGTTTGGACTTCTACAATGTCTTTCCTATTCATGAATGGGCATGCTAAAGTTGCATTTGGTCTTTTTGCCCAGATGGTAAAATTTGGTCTTCAACCAAATGGTAGTACTTTCATAGGCCTGCTAAACCTTCATGTCTGTGGTAAATGTCATTCAGCAATCAAGATCATTTCAAGGATTACTAGAAGAGAGATTGTGCTAAGAGACACAAACCTCCATTTCTTTATTGTCGGGACATGTTCGTGTAAAGATTATCGGTAAAGTTTCAATTCACACAGCAAAGTTCTTGGTTGGATGACAATTTAACCAAGACAAACATCATAGCTCTTTCCTCTATGAACTTTACAAATATACGCGGAAGTTTTTACAGATGCAAAAGAAAGAAGGTGATGTTTAGTTGAGTACTTTTTGTGCAGCAAACATTTCTATGGGAAGTCATGCTACTGTATCTCTTGCTTCCCCCTTTTTGTCACTCTAAGCTAAAACCAAAATTCTGATGATTCCAAGGATCATATTCCTTTGTTTCTGTATCTCTTGCTTTCCGTTTTTCCTACATCGATTCTTACTCTGATTTATACTTCACCAAACTTCATGAGTAATGAAGTTGATGATAATGAAGATAGAGCTGAATTATGGATAAGCTTCCTTTAATGTTTTCAGGTTCTCTCTCCCTCTTTTTCTTTTCCAGAATATATTTATATCTGCTGCATTATTTACCAGTGGTGTCTTTGGAATGGGGGATTTAGAGCTCATTTCTCTCACACTTTCACTGTAAATTTGTTAATATAAAAATAGCTAACATGTTTATCAGATGCAACCATTTAATAATTGATTCCTATCAGATCTTAAAAGTTTTGGTAAATCTTTAATTTGAGTTTTTTTTTTTTGGTTTACTTTTGTGAATATGAGACTGAAACCAGCAGGGAATTGGGGCAGATTTTCTCTGGGTTAAAAGAAATTTTGATGATAATATATCTAAGACTTCTTTTATAGATTATTATGGGTTGTATACTTGCTTGTGTTATAGTGTTAGGTGACATGTCTTCAATAATGCATGGGACATATATATGTGTGTGTTTTTAGTCACCTGTTATGCTATGCCAGCAACTGGAGAGAAGTATTGATTCATTCAGAAGATATTCAGTAAGCTATCTTATGAATTCTGAGTAACGGAATCAAGGGAGACCAATGCTAGAGTTTTAATGTCAGATAAATCAAGTAGCGCTTTTTGTGGAGGAAACAAAGACCAATTGAGAGCACATATGGACATATGGTAAGCATGTTGACAGCCACTGGACACAGAGTGCAATGAGTTTTATCATTTTCTCCCCCCACCTTTATTTGATACCTTTCCATTTCCTTTTTCAGATTTAAACAATTGCACTTAATGATTTGAAGGTGGTATGATTTATTAGGAAGCGTTTCTGAACATTGATGCATCAGCTAGTTTCGCCTCTGTCTACTGTGACTAGTATAGCTTATGAATCACATAAAGACCTTACCTGGAGCAACTGATCAAGTATTGGCAATCAACAAGTCAAAAGATTTTGAACATTGAAGATAGTTCTTCGTTCCTGATTCGAGTGGTAGGTTCTTCATTTGATCATTCATTTTCAGATTCTCCAGGTCACAAAATCCCCAACTTTTAACCAGGTATCGACTTCAAATATTTTTGCTAAAAGAAAATTTCTACTGTTAGCAACCTAATATTGTACAAGTAATTTGATTAGATATTTGGGTGTTTAGAGAGCCACAAGGGCAGGTGATGAAAATCGATCTGAAGATCTCTTGGAATCGGGAGAGGAGCTCTAACCACTTGAGCTATCCCTCACTCTCAATTTGATTAGATATTTCCTGAATATAAACATCTTTCAAGGTGAACAACTATTTATGATACTATCGAATGGATTCATAAGCATTCACATAAGAGAAATTCTTTGTCCAATTCTTCTGCTCTTTTTATATGTTTTTTGAGGCGATGTAGTCTTGTTATGCTTCACGATTTGAGGACCTTCGACTGCATGAACTTCAGTATCAGCCTACTCAATGTGTTTCTGCATTCTCGACTATAACTATATTTGATAAGCCAGAATTGGAAGTATGGGAGTTGAACACTGATGATGTGCACAGTGGCTTAGCAGAGTAGCAATTGAAGTAATTTGTATGATTCTATGCACAAAGATATGTAATTATGCAGAGCAGAACAGTTGCTGTTTGTATGAATATTTACAAATATGTTCCACTTCTGTAGGATAAATGTATGAAATATCATCATTTAGACATTGTAACATTGACAAGAAAACACTATTGAAAGTTTGTATGATGTTTTTTTTTTTTAATAATATTGTACTGCTACCCGAAGTTATTTGGTTACCCATAAAATGTCTTCTTTTGTGATGTACATTTAGCCTATTAACTTATTCTTTTCCCACTCTAAAATAACATATAAATTGATTACTCTGTTCGTTTCATTTTTATTTAATCTTAAAAGCGCATCTGGTGAATCTGTGACTATGAACATGCTCAATTAAAAAAATGTGTGAAAATTGATTTTAAAAAAAATTGTTACTTTAAAATTCATTTCAAGACAAATTTTGCACATACATATCCCACGTGATGATCATCCTAATAGTATATCTTTGTAGTGGAAGGTCTATAAAATTTGGCCATAAAAGTCTAAAAAAAAATTATTTTATTAGAATCTATCTTTTTGAACTTATTTTTCTAAGATGAGCCAATAGTCATTTTAAAAGAAATAAAATAGTCATATACTCGTACTTATGAATAGATGGCTCTTTTTTTTAAAAAATAAAAATTCTAGTTTCATCTACTGTATTAATCAAGGCTACAAGCCTACAAGCTACAACAGTTCAAAATCATCAATTAGTATGAAAAAATTTTAAATGAAAATTAAATTCAACCTCTAAATTATCTTTGAGTATTAACTCTTGGAAAAAGTAGTTAAATATACTACAAACTTAATCAAAAAAGCACCAGTGGTCTAGTGGTAGAATAGTACCCTGCCACGGTTCAGACCGGGTTCGATTCCCGGCTGGTGCAACAAATATTTCAATTTATGATGAATGATTTGCGCCCTAATGTGACGTTTGCCCGTCACATTTGAATCTGACTGATCAGCTAAATAATAGCGCATCTGAACTTGAATTTTTGTGTCTATGTTTCCATGCTTGCTCCATAGTTCATATAATCATATGAGTATGTGTCATCCTAAGTCGAAATCTTGAGAGGCTTTCATGTCATATCAATAAGCTTCTTCTACGTAAATGATGTTATCGTCTTTTTTTCTTCTTTGTAGCATACCAGTATTTGCTTGTTACTAGTAGCGAGAAATAAGAAAATGGAGTAAGTGTTTACATATTGTACTTTTTTTTATAACAACTGAGAAAAATAATCATTAGGAAGCGCTCTTTACTAGGGGAATTCCTATATAAGGATGAAATTTCGTGTATGCTTGAACTATTTTGCTTACACTTGCGACTTTGCGAGTTGTGACTTGTGTTACTAGTTAGGATTAGGAAGGAGTATGAGTATATCAATAGTTATACTCTTAACAGTGCTTAAAATATGCTTCCTTGATTCAATTTCTTTCCAAAATTAACGAAAGGTAATTTTACAAACATTTATGAAGATGATAAAATAGAAAAACAGTGCTCGAGCTTCTTTTCTTAGTTTCTCAAGCTTCTGATTTCCATGGCCCCCATCCAGCTTTCGCATTCCATCTCCAAATCTAAAATCCAGAGTTTTTTAAATAATACCAAGTTGGCTTCTCACTTTCCAGCTTCATACTACAAGATCGACGAAAACCTGATGATGCACAACTACTATCAACCTTTAAAATTTTTTATACGAAGTAGAAAATACAACGAAAGTATCTAGAATAAACAGCAATGGCTTAACCCTTTCTACTTTTTCTCAACTACATAAGATATCAGAACACATCTATATATGCCAAGCGTAGAATGGAGTAGTGTACATCAAGAGAGAACAAAAGAATTTACAGACAAGTGATTTCCATAATAAACTTTGCCAACCTCCCTAATAAAGAGGTTTAAGGTCTTGCAGACAGCTCTACTGAGTTTTAATTCACATCAAAATTTAAAATCCGCAGTCTGCACTCGACTGATCCTCCTGCAGGGTGGCTGCCTGACTGGTCTACTGTCATTCGGATAAAACATAAAGATTCATTGATTCCAAATTTGTATACAAGACTGTCCAAGCAGCTCATATCTTCAACCTCCACTAGTCCACGGCTGATAAATGATCAATTCAGAATATGCCAAGGATCCTATATCAGGGGGGTTCACATCAAAATGATACTTATAAATGTAGGTGTCGCTCTGAGGTCTTGTAAATGGTAGTTCGGCTTGTCTGCCAATTTCATTTGTGTTACTAGCAAAAAACCTCACATAACCAAAGCCAGCATTCAATCTAACAAATCCTTATTGTAGCCTGTAGCTTGTCTTGTCTTTCAACTCTACCCCGTATTAATATGGGGAAAAAAAAATATTCAGGAACAATGGGTTGCATCATCTGTGGTAAGACTCCTAGCATTACTCACATAAATCATCTGAATGCCCTAGAGATTACTGAGCTGATTGTAAACAAGCAAGCGTATGATGCCATGTTGTTAGGGTGACTACTTAGAAAGCAGGAGGACTATTGTGTCCTCCTGGTAGGGTCATTGGTTATATGGGAGCAAGTGTATGGTCTATAGACGGCAGATTCTTTCTAAGTGCACATTGCACCATCTGCCTCTCTGTTGTATCAACAGAGGAATTCAGCTACCCACAGTCTCCACCGTGTAGGAAGGCAAAGGATCAAGATCTGAGCCTTGCCCAGTGGGGGTCTTAAGAAGTAAGAACAGAACTGGATGAAATGGAAGATAGTAAAAGATCCTATAGATTTGTTTAACTATGATAGTGATACACCACTCGCCTGAGTGTAATAAACAGGAATTATGGGCAGAATATAAAGAAAACGACAAAAATGATAGATGATATGTGGGTTACAGAACATTATAAGCATTTTCAAGGTTCCAAGAAGCTTGATCCTCTCCCATAAACACTGAAACTGGAACACTCGATAAAATTTTAATACTCTTCCCTCTATTCTCCTATATATATATAGACACGCTGCTCTTTTCTATCCAATTCTCCCAACTTCGTCCTCTAGCTATTTCATAAGAGAATTAAAATATCATATTTTAATGTATCCCTCCCCTACACTCCCTCCATGCATGACATTGAGCAGGACAGGATCATAGAGCATAGAATGTGTTCAGAACTCATTCTTTAGCTTTGTATATACTGTAAGATATTTGAAAATAGTAGTAGAAATAATGTTTTAAAATAGTAGTATAAATAATGTGCAGCAGAAGATTGTTAAAATTAAATTCTAACAAGGATCAATTTCACATCTTCTATTATTCACAATACTTCTTCAGATGATTAAGCTTACGGAAATCTTTAACACATTACTACCAACAAATAATGTGCAGCAGAAGATGGTTAAAATTAAATTCTAACAAGGATCAATCTCACGTCTTCTATCATTCACAAATACTTCTTCAGGTGATTAAGCTTAAGGAAATCTTTAACACATTACTACCAAGAAGATGCGAGTAACATCATTAATCTCAGCTATTAAACAATATTAGAATACATAAAATGTTTAAGAAATTAATTAGTGAAAAAATACATGTAATTGATTAATTAATACCAAGTATAGTATATCATAGAATCATATAGCTGGGATGGTATGGTTGTAACATTGTATTAAGCTCCTAAAGCCAAGATTGTTTACTCAAATAGAATAGGAGGATTCCTCGATATATGATTTCAATTCAGATGGGAATCAATCATTTCTTGGGTCATAATAAAACATCAAAAAGTTTGATAGAGACTTGAACATTCACAGTTTTAGGGTTGGTTCTATACGTCTATGTTTGGCTGGATGTACTCCAAGATCAGGAAAATTTGGTAGTTAAACAGGATAATGAGTTCTCTGCTTGGGTGGAAGCATGCAGTTTCCATGATGAAAGACCTTAATACTTAATAGAGGTGTACAGTGCAAGCTCAGCTGGTTGTGGTGAGGTCACTTGTGCTCTCTTCTCTCTCAATATATAGTGGTTTAAAGAGATAATGGTATGTAACTTATGTCAATCAATGTCCTTTAATACTAGCAGATGGATCCACTAAAAGGTTAACTCTTCATCCAGGCAGCTGTATTGAGGCTTTCGCCATCTTCAGGCAAGCAAAATGGAAGCAGCATCAAAAGCTGGTACAGGAAGTTACAGGAACATCACAAAAGGATTTATCTACCATCTACCTTCTTCCAATCAGTTCTTCAATCTAAATTCTAATGGAGTCCAAAGGAAACAGAAACAGGAGTGCTTTAGATGCTTCCCATTTATCAGAAAATAGCAACGAAGACGAAGAAAGAGAGGTAAAATTTGATGATACTCCAACTTTTCCTCATCACAACCCGTATCTAAACAATTTTCAACTGCTAATACAAACTTATTTAACATACAAAGAAAGAACGTCAAAAAAAATGCACCATGAGCAAAGGTCATATGCTTGTTCTCATGTGGGTCAGTGGATGATCATTGCTTACCACACTAGACATGGTCACTGCTTGAAATTCAGGGTCAAGTAGGTATCTACCTACAAAAACTTTAATTAATCTATACAGATGGGATCAGACTCCTCAATACTGACGGACGAGATTCTTTCAAAAACAAGCCAATCCTAGAATATTGCTTATTAGCTAGAGCTTGTTAAAGCTCCAGCGGAAACGGATCAGTAGCCTATGAGGGAAGCTCGAGCAATTCATCTCCGAGTTCCAAAAGAATTTTATATAAGGAGATGAGCTTTATCACCACGACAAAGTTATTTATAATTCTTCCACCGGAAGATTCAGCCAAAAAAAAAAAAAAAAAAAAAAAAAAAACACACACACCTAGATACTAGGTTCATTTTCAGAATATGCAACATGGCTAAACCAGCTTCTGAAGAATCACACTAATTATATATTAAAAGCTTCCTGCCAACGGGGGCACTTCAGGGCCCAAAGGAGAGCACAAGTGCTCCTAAATTTTAGGTTCAGTACTTCCAACTAACTCCCAAATTTCCAAATTTGTCCTATTGTTGCCCCTTCTACATGTTATCCCTTCTAAGGAAGAGCGCCATAAGGAGAATATCCCAATGCCTCTGAAGGCCTCATCCTTTTTTTTCAAATTTGCTCTACACGCATTCCAATCCCATCCAAGACCGCCATCTGACCTGCTTTCCCCTCTTTTCCTTCATTTTATTTCAGGGTTTGAGGTGAGCGAAGTAGAGGTTAAGTTTGAAGAGAATCCAGGTTTAATGATTTGATTTGAAAAGGTTATATAAGATGACCAAATCAGCTTAAGCAAAAGAAGAGCAAGAAGCCGAAGAAACATGCAATCAATATAAATACAATGAATTAATTTGACATCATGATTAAAATTGCACTAGAAATATATCATACACCAACACCAAAAAAGTGTGCATACAAAGAGTCGTACCACAAAATGAAATATCTCTATCTATAAAGTCTCAACTAGAAGGCCAGTGCCAAAGTAGTTAAAACTCACTTAGTTACCAATGTCCGATAAACTTAGTCATTGTGCTCCACCCATCAATTCATCAGAATCTGAATCACTTGCATTATAGCCTATTTAGACCACAGACAAGAAAACCAAAATAAGGAAAGGGAAAAGATAAGAATGATATAAGTGAGCAAGAACAAGAAACGTCAGGTTTTTTCCAAGGGAATGAAGGACGTTACCAGGGTGCTTTTCGCCCACTCTCCAAACTGATGATCTTACCCTAGAAGCCTTTGACATCCATACTTTTGCCTGAAATCCATAGATAGTGAGACATGATCTCAAACAAATAAGCAACATTATGGCACAAACCAAAGCTATCAAGAAGCAACTTATAAAAAGCACACTAACAAGTACTAGTATCTCACATCAATTCTAGTTGCTTCTACCGTTACAGTTCTTGCTGACAAGGGAGCCTCAAACTGCATGGATATGTATTCCTAGGACGAAAAAAGGACTATGCACCAAAAGAAAAATAATCTTTACAACTTTAAAGCAAGCTATACAAAAAACTAGAACCCTAATATTTAGCCAAATCATTCGCCCAATTCATGTCGGAGCACAATCACTGAATCAAGTATCAGCTAATGCTTCAACAAAGGAGCAAAAGAAGAACTAACATATTTTGATTCCAATTCAAATTAAGGAATCCAACCAAACCCTAGGAATCTAACTGTCATAACACTACCCATTAGAGAACAATCAACCCCAAGCACAAACTGGATCCCACACAACTCAAAAAGCTGTCACAAACCCAGAATTTATCCATTCAATACATAGAATATGCAAACTTGTGCAATCACAATAGTCAACAAACAAATCAATCAACTGACAAAAACACACAATCACATTAAATTCAGCAAAAATAAAATGATGGGCATCCATAAAAATCACCAAATAACACCAAAGTTACAAAATTGAACCAAAATTTTTCCCCAAAATAATAAATTTAAAAATCAAACCTTTAGGGCAAATTCAAATTCACTAATTAACATCACTAATTCATGAAATTAACAAAACCCCACAATCAAACTCATTAAATTAACACAATCTAAAATGATGGGCATCAATAAAACTCTCAAAAAATAAAAAAAGGAAGGACCTTTTGGACATCTTTGGGAACACCATAACCAGAGAAATACATCTGACTAACAAGAACTTGCATATTAGTATCGCCGCCTTTAGCCTCCTTGAGAGTGTCTTGAAACCACCGCATCACACAGTCGGCCACCACCTCCGACAACGGCTGCCGCGCCTCTCTACCGCCGTTGCTGCTACTGCCTCCGTTTTGCATGTCGTTTTATTGCTAATTTTCTGCGTTTTGCTCAATTATTTTCTGATTTTTTTTTTTCCTTACAAAAATGAAAGAGGAGAAAATCAAGGGGGAGAAATGGAAGCAATTGTAGCAAGAGAGATTCTCGTGAGAAGGGTTTTTACAAAATTGAAGTCAATTAGATATGTACGACGTCGTTTTGTATAGCAAAGCAGGGTCACTTTCAGCAGATATCCGGTTGCCAATTGATAAAGTGACAACATTTTGCGGTTATACATCCAACCAGAATTTTTTCCTATGAAAAAAATTTAATTCTTTTTTCTTCAATTTTTTATTTTTTTCATTTAATCAATCAATTAATAACTATACACTAAGCTAACCCTATCGATCAAGATCGAAGGCCCAACATTATTGATAACAATTCTGATCTGAAGTCAACTTCAGAAACAAAAAACCCAAATCTTATAGGGTCAAGTTATCGGTTTTGTAACCGAAAACGTATTGATTCCTATTTGCATCTCACTCCAACAATGTATGGAGCGATTTTTAAGGGACGGACACTACACTACTATTGCTCTTCCAAGAAGGATTTTATTAGCATCCGAGTACTCGATCATCCAAAGAAGATGGATTGTGTTGAAACTCAAGAAGTTTTTACACCAATGGAGGTTAGTCACCCCCCTGTGAATGGGCATGATAGGTGTGAAGCAACTCCAAATTTGGCACAAGAAGATTCGACCATAGGTATGGTTGATCAAGTGTCATCATCGTGTGAAAGTACGTCGGTGCCCCTTCCAGATGCTCCAGTCTACTCCCCGGTGAAGTCTGCTGCAAGCCCCAACAATTCCTCTTCTCAAAATTTGAAGTTATTGGTTTCTTCTTGTCGTTCCAGAGCTAGAAGGCAAAGTCATTCTCTAAGAAGTTTAACTTCCTCTGTTTTTACTAACCCTTTGTTTTGCAGGATGAGTGGCTCAAAAAGGAAAGCGTCTTATCCCACCGAACTTGTATGGCTTCCGAATAGAAAGTTGTTATATGGTTCTACCCCTAATGTTCTAGTGTGTACTTTAGTTTATGATTAATTTAGGGTTTTGCTGTTGTCAAAAAAAATAAAAAAAAATAAAAGACACACCAAAAATTGACATGTGTCATTTTTTTGGTGCATCCCTAAGGGGGTTTTTTTTATTATTTTTATTTTTAAAAAAACAAATATTTTACATAAATATAAGAATTAAAAAAAAATTAATGTATCATATCACAATATATATTGATACCTTTCTTTCAAAAAAAAAAATAAAAATAAAAATAAAAATAAAAAAAACTGATACCAAAAACTTAAGTAAGAAAATAAAATCAAATCAAATTCTTAACTTACATATTATTATATGCAACTCTACCACTTATATAACAATGCTTTTTCAAAAAAAAATAAAAAAAAAATGTATATAATTACGTGTGAAAAGCTTGTTGGGAAAAATAAGAAAAAATATTTTTAGTAGCTGATTATTGAAAAAATATGTTGTATGAGAGAATGAATGATAGTGGGTAAAAAGGAGATCTTATGTATGGGTTAAATACATATTGCTAACATATTCATTTGGTTAACAAGAAAGATATGATATAAATGTATTGGTGAAATATATTGTATATAAATATAAAAATAAATATATGCATATTTTAAAATATTTTTGGAGCTAATATATTTTGGAGCTAAGAAAGTAGTTCAAAGTGTAAAAATCCATAATCTAAGTAGAATTTTATTACTATATTGACCTGTTAATTAGGGTCAGGTCATGAGTCATTTCGGATTGGGTCACTTCAAGTTACGAGTCAAGAAATGTTCAACCCTTGCCCAAAGTTTTGAGTTCGGGTCAACCCAACGGGTTTTGAACATTTATTTAATTTAATTTATTTTTGCTATTTTTTTATTTTTTAATGTAATTAAATCGAATATTTCCACCAACATTATTATTAGTCATTATATGCCCACTAAATCATCACAAAAGAATGTCAAATACTAATGTATCAATTATCTTTTTTAAAATTAGACCTATAAATTAAAAAATTATCTTAAAATTCAATAATAAAAATTGAAAAAAAAAAACTCGGACATCGCACGGGCACACAACTAGTTTGCATATATTTACGGAGTATTTAATATGGAAAGCTATCAATTACTAGCATAATACGAGTACAAAATCAATGAACGATTTCCCATAATATTGTTGAAATAAAAATCAATTCCCATAATACATTGATTTAAAAATAAATTCCCTACATAGTGTCCACGTAGGATCATTTTTTTTTTTTTTTGCTTTTGGTTCAACTTAAAACCGCTAATGGTAATAGCGGTTATAGTTTAAAAGCGCTATTATCGTTAGCTGTTTTAAAAAAGAGACCGCTTCTAACAATAATAGCTCTCTTTGCGTCCTTGGTTAATTCACAAGGGTTAGTCTGCAAGGAAGATTATTTCAAAGAGACCGCCTTTCAATAAGACAGGTCTCTTTGCGTCCTTGTTAATTCTTACCCTACAGCAAGAAGAGAGAGCTGACATTTAAACTTATAAGTTTAAAGAGACCGCCTTTAAATAAAAACAGGTCTCCTTGATTTTATTTTTAAAAAATTGCAAAAGTTGAACCGAAAACCAATCCTACGTGGCACTACTTTGGGAATTTGTTTTTAAAACGAAGCATAATGAGAATTTATTTCTATTTCAACAATATTAAGGGAAATCAATTAACATAGACTATTTACAAAATTAATAACGACAGCTCATGAAATTCTTAGCTAATACATTGTAATTAGGATTAATTTAAGAAGCAATAAATCATTGACCTCCCTTGATGAACAAGTTAAGGATAAGATATACGGAGTATCCTCTTAAATTATGAAAATCTTGACCTTCTATATGTAGAGTTGTAGACTTCTATTGGAAGGGCACGGATTATCTATTTTAATTTGTATTTGCCTTACTTAATTGGTAGATCCCTCTTCCCTCAAAAAAAAAATAAAAAAAGGTTTATCTCTTAATTAATTTTCGATTTGAAGATTATAGAAAAAATAAATAATGAACTGTTATGAATTATAATTACGATAAAATATGGGCCCCTATATAAAAATGTTACTCGGTACAAAAATTAAATTGATTTAGGCGTTAATTACTTGCCTTGACAACGACAAAAAACTAAAACTCAATAAAATTTGGCAGTTCATAATTAAGGGAATAATGAGTATAAATAGTCAAAATAGATAGTGTAATGTACAATCATAGAAATGGATAACTCGAAGACTTGGACATTGACCAAACCTTGACGATATTGACTTGATAGATGTTATATCATTCTGATCATGTTCAATTTATTTGAGTTTGTCATTAATTAACTAATTTAAATTTTACTTATATTCCTAATAAATTTTTATTAGAGCAACTCCAATGATTATGGTTAGGGACTTGCTTGTAATTTCAACAATTCTCTAGCCATTAGCTTGAGACTCAAGCTAGAGCCTGACACCAAGTTTATATGTTTTTTCTTTAAAAAAAAAAACCAATAGAGTCCAATTTTTGGAGCTCCAAAAGAGTCCTTATGGCAACAAGTTTATATGTTTTTTTTTTTTTTAAAAAATAAAAAAGGAGAAACCAAAATTTCCATATTTATAAAATTAAAGCCAACAAACTAATTGGCTAACATGTTGTATTTGATTGGATAACATAATCCTACACCGGAAAGAATAACATTTATCCTTTTTCAAAATAAAAACAAATATTATCATAAGTATTTAACTAATTATTACAATTTTAAAATATATCCGTTTCAATTCAAGATAATTAAGGTAATTTGATTAGCAGTATAAAAAGTGTTTTCCTAAGCCAATTTAACTTAATATAAAAGAATTTTACTTCACCCAAATTGTGTCATCCAAAGCCCTATAAATACATGTGTTCATCCGCCCTAAGGCCATAATCTAAACACACAATATTTCAATCTTTGAAATTCAGAAATTCTCAAAAAAACAATTCGTAGAGTTTGGTAAGCTCTCCTTTTTCTCATTCAATTATGTAATTGCAATTTCTGTTTTTGTTCTTCATCACTTAGAACTTTCAATAATGTCATTAGTTATTACGTAGTGTAGTATTTCCTCTCAATTTTTCGTAAGCATTATGATTTCTTGTTTCAATGTTGTAATTGCGAATTGTAGTTTTTTCTCTCGATCGTTCATAGAAAAACAAAAAATTTATATTTGAGTTTGACCTAAGAAAGACTATTGGTATTTTTTCATGCTATCAAAGTAAGAAAATTTTGATGTAGTACAGTTTATGGTTTGTATACAAGTAAAAGCATGTTCTTGTAACTAATCTTAGTAATCTTGTTTAAATTTGATTTTTTGAAATAGAATAATCATCATAATAGTTGTTTATATGGTACAAACAAAAATTGTATTATGAATTACGTATTTTTTTATATGCAATATTTTTATTTTTATTTTTTTTTATTTTTTTTTTACCTTTAAAGAAACATATATCCATTAAAAAGAATTAGTTTGTTATTAATTAATTATTCTTATTCTTATTGACTTGACCTAATTGAAACTTGAAATTGGACATGCAGTGTTTGACGTATTCATAATTAGAAAGATATATTTTCTTTCTTAGTAAACAATTGTAATTTATAATTATATTTGAGTGATAATTTTCTAGTAATACCTTGTACAATCCAATGAAAAAGCCACTATACTTGGATTTCAAGAGAATACAAGTGGATATGCTACCTCGTACTTAACGGATCCCAAGAATAAATATTACTCCGTAACATTAACATATTTAAGTAATAATTTCGTACTAATTCTTGCTATAATTTGCACTTAACTACCCATCCCACTAATAACTAAGAAACATATGTAACCCAAATAAGTTATTTATTAGATAAAATGCACAGTCATTATTCACTAATTCAATCAGTTTTTAGCATAATCAATTATATTCTACGATTTATTGCTTGATATGTGAATAGTCTCAATATAATTTATATTTTCTAATTCACAAAAGTGAATTAAAGATAATTCAACCTTATTTTTTGTATCATGAAAATCTCTTCTAATTGTGATTTTGATTCAGAGCAAGTACTGAAATTATTACAAAATGGTGAGCCCTAATGCAATCAGAAACACCCTTGGA